AACGGAGGAGTGAGAAGAAGAAAGGATAGAAAAAGAGAAATGAGTCAAAAAGTTAGTTTTAAAATATTTGACCCCGAACAGATCGCTTGAGCGAACATTCTATCACTCGAGCAATGAAGAGATTTCAAACATACCACTCAAGAGAACACTTTACCACTCGAGTGGTGAACACAATGTCCCAGACCCGCTAAGCCTGACCTAAGCCTGACCCACTAAAGGCCCACTCCAATGCTAGGCCCGAAGCCTAGTCTACTCGGCTTGCTCGAGGCCTACTATCATTTCTAAGCTATTTCAGTGGGAAACAAATAAAATTTTAGTAGAAAAAATTTTAAAAAAATGGTCAAGCTCAGCCCAGGCCCGATGGTCCCACCCAAAGCCTAGCCCAAGGCTAGAGTATCCCTAGGCTATGGCTATTATTTTGTGTGAGTGGGCGAACCCGATCTTTGGTGAGAGCCTACTAGGCCCGACAACAGACCGGGCCATTTTTACACTCCTAATAATGGGTATGAATGAGAGAGAGTTGTGACATTTTGTTCCAGGTGACCGCTCAAGCGGTGAAAGTACCACTCGAGCAAAGATTGAGGGCATCCAGTAGTTTTGCAGGTCAGGGTGGACCGCTCGAGTGACTATTAGTTCGCCCAAGCAAAGATGCAAGGCTCCCAGAATCTCATTTTGTAGACAAAAATACAAAAAAGTCTCATTCACCGCTCGAGCGATAAAAAAACTGCTCGAGCGGTCTGTACGAATTCAGTCTATTAAAAAAGGCATTTCTAGATCATTCTTTCCACTTCTCTTTTCTTTATTCCTCTTTCTTGTCTTAAGTCTGAAAAACCCTAGGTTTCTCACCCTAAATACTCTCTATTCCTCTAAGATCTAGTCGAAATCACTTGCAATGAGTGAAGTCCAAGTGAAGATCTTCATTCCTACCGATTGGATTTTGTTTTTGCAAAGGATTCTCCTAAAAATCAGGCTCCTTGCTCTTTTCTTCAGGTAGGGTTACTTTTAACTTAGTATCTCTCTGTTTTGAAGATGATTATATGGTATTATTGTGACTTTATGACTTAATTTGATGATTGAGTATATTAGCCCTTGTATTTCTCAAAAAAGGGAAATTTTACTCAACTTTTATTAAAGTTTTATCTAATTTTCCATATGACATGAGTAATAATGTTGAGAATAGATATATATATATATATATATGTGCAAATGGGAAGGAAGCCCCAAATTTGTTAAAAATCCTAATTTTGAATGAGTAGAGAATGATACTTGGAGGAGAATTTCCTTAAAGTCTTGAAATTTTGTGAATAATCACGATGTTGAAAATATAGATATTCTTGTGGTGTTAAAATTGTGATTAGGGGATTGAGGCTCTTTGAATGTTATAATTGTTCCCTATCACTTATAATGTTAAACGCTTAATTACTTGAAACAAAGTAGAGTAAGGTGGTAAAGTGAATAGGAGTCTGGGTTAAGAGTCGATTTTGAGAATGTGGTGTTGTGTTGGTACCCGCGCGGGGAGTCAAGGTGCCCAATTGCTCTATCTCCGCTTATCGCCAAACGAATGTGGGAAAATATTTTTGGGTGTCCACCGGTCCTGCCGTAAAGTGGAAAAATGGATGATTTTGGGTGTCCACTTCCTACCATATAACAGTCAGCAAATGTGGAAAAACATGGTTTTTTGGTGCCCACGTCTTGCCGTATAATATTCGTTAAATGTGGAGATGATATTACATAAAAGTGACTTATGCATGTGGTTCAGACTCTTGTAAGGGACTCATGGTGTATTTCTCTTCCTGGAGTTGAGAACGGTTTTGTGTGGGACTGAGGTGTACTGTAATTTTTCTTTATTTATCAATGTCAATTATTTTCTATTGTTTTGTTATGATAGTGCCATGTGCTTCTTCTAATGATTAGATACTTGGTTAAATATATCTCTACTGGGCCTATAGCTCAACCCTATCTAATTTTTCAGGAACTGGTGACACACCACTATAATGATTTGAAGTTGCACTTTTATTTTGCTGGGAAGCTGGGCCCAAGAAATTTGATTGTAAAAGTATGGAGTTTTGTATCATACATTGAAATTCATTTTGTTGTATTTCACAAAACTTAAAAAATTTTGTATGCCTTAATGAAGAATTTCTTTTGTATAGTCTTCTAGATTATTGAACTTACCCAAAGACATGGATTAGGATTAATGTGTATCATGGACTTATAAATTTTGGATCCAAGTTCAATAATAAAGAGGACTTTATGGTACGTTGCAATGCATGGTTATGGTTTATTCTTGTGGGAAACTTCGGGTGTTACAAATTGGTATCAGAGCTAACCGGGTTTAAATACCTGGAGCTTATGGAAAGCGGCTTTACCGCATAGGGCTGTCATGTTAATAAGGGATGTTAGTTGCCTTGTGTGTTTTATCTGTTTGTATGATTGCATGGGTATGGAGTTGATCTCTTGGGATATGACTTGCATCTATTGCAGCCATCAAAATCTTTTGGAAAGGCACCTGATCAATGTTTTTTCCACCAGGAGGTCCTTGAGTGCGATGGGACTAGTCAGAATCTTGAGAGGGTAACTGAGGGTGTCTTATGTGTTTATGTGACCGTGTGGAGTGCTTTCTGTGACATAGACATCTGTGTAGACATGTGTCTGATTTGTGTGCAACGTGTGGGCTAACATATAATGTATGGATGGTGAGTTAAATCTTTTCTTTTTACCTCTATACAGTATGTCTGGACGCGGTAGGGGTCGCTGTAGACCACGTAGCGGTAGCCGGGAGATGCCGGCTCAGCAAGATCTACCTCTCCAAAAAGAAGGAGTGGGACAAAATGATGCGGCTGTCCCATCGGCCAAAGATGCAGTGGAGGCCTTGGCCAAGAAGATGGCAAGAGCTCTCTGAGAGTCCATGAAGATACTTTGAGCCGAGCAAGTGGCTAGGATAGTTAAAGAAGAAACTAGAGCTTCCTTTTTGAGAAATGAGTTCTTTCGTTTGAATCTCGCCGAGTTCAGCAACGGACCTAATCCAATGAAAGCAGATGAGTGGTTGGAACAAATTGTAAAATCCTTTGAGATCTTGGATATCCGTGAGGATGAGTTGCAGGTAGCATTAGCGGTTTAACAATTGAAAGGTGAGGCTGGGCAATGGTGCAAGTATGTCAAGAATAGAGTTGAGCATACTTGGGAGGCTTTCATGCACACATTCCAAGAAAAGTTTCTCCCTCCCACTGCTAGGGAGTGACTAAGGAAACAGTTTGATGAGTTAAGGCAACTTGATACACCTGTGGCTGAGTTTGAAGCCATATTCACAAGTTTATCTCATTTTGTACCTGAGCTAATAAGAATCGAAGAACAACGATGCTTAGAATTTGAGAAAGAGGTTAAGACCGAAAATTTTAATGAAAATAGTGGGCAACATGATTCGTGATTATGATCGCTTAGTGGAAGCTGCAACCTATATGGAAATTATGGTGGAGGTAGAGGAGGCGAGACAGAAATTAAAGAGGACGGGTCATTCTAAATCTTGGGGCAAGTCGGGGTCCTCTAAGAAGTCTAGGGGTTCATCATCATCATTTCAGTCGCTCTCGCAACAAGCCAAATCTTCTGACTCCGTGATGGGTGGAAGTTCAGGGAGCATAGGTCAAATTCGTGGAGCATGTTATAAATGTGGCCAATTGGGTCACAAAGCTTCGGGGTACGAATAGAAAGGTGGACCACAATCTCAAGTTACTCATTCCTAGAGTCAGTTATATAATGGGGGACAGTCACCATCTTGTTATCAGTGTGGTCAACCGGGGCATCTAAATAAGTTTTGTCCACAATGAGCAGGGTCCATAAATGTGACCAGATCTCGCCAGTCCGAGGGGTTTTCAGATGGGCCCAGGACAGAGATAGTCTTATCAACTAACCCAGTCAGGCCAAGAATCCAGGGCAGTACATAGAGCCACATCTGCATAGTCGGCACAGCGAACTTATGTTCAAAGAGATGATATTAAAAGAGCAGAGATTATAGGGGAGGGTGTATGCCATCACTGCATCGGAAGTAGTCTTCAAGACCGTCTGTTATGAGAGGTACTTATCTCATCCTCAATAACTGGGCTAAGTGTGTTGATAGATATCGGGGTGTCCCATTCATTTATAGCAACTGCATTTGTATCTTTGTTGGGATTAGGAAGCGAACAACTAGAGTCTCCACTTCTGGAGGAATCACCTGTTGGGAGTAAAGTTTTCTTGAACCAAGGATGTCGTGGCTGTATCATTGAGGTCGCTAGTCGACAACTTCCTTTCAATTTTGTATTGTTAGATATGTCAGGTTTTGATATTATTCTTGACATGGACTGGTTGTCTTCGCACCGAGCTATTATTGATTGTTATCATAGGAAAGTTATGGTGTGTACGTCGAATGGTGATTATTTTACATTTTGGGGGGATAGAAGTGATTAGGCCTTACTCTCATTGTACTACCCTAGCGGTCGGGGTGAATTTAGATCACTCTTGGCAGCCTTTTTAGATGATGGAAGTGATGAGGTTCAGGATGAGTTTCCGAGGGTAGTTTACAAGTATCCCGATGTCTTTCCCGAAGATCTCACCAAGTTACCCCCTCATCGGGAGGTCGAATTCTCTATAGATTTGATACCGAGTACAGCACCTATTTCCTTGTCACACTATAGATTTGCTCTAGCTTAAATTGGTTGTTCTGAAGGAACAATTGCAAGAGTTGCTAGGTGAGGACTTTATACGCCCTAGTACCTCACCTTGGGGAGCTTCAGCCATTTTCACCAAGAAGAAGGATGGGGTCATTGAGATTATGCATGGACTATCACAAATTGAATCAAATAATGGTTAAGAATAGTATCCCTTACCCATAATAGATAATCTTTTTGACCAACTGAAAGGTTCACTTTGCTTCTTGAAGATAGATTTGAGGTCAAGTTATCATCAGATACGCGTTAAGAAGGAAGATATCCCCAAGACAGATTTTCGTATTAGATATAGTCACTATGAGTTCTTGGTTATGCCAATTTGGTTTACCTAACACACCAGCTACATTTATAGACCTGATGAACCAAATCTTTCTCGAATTTCTTGATAAATTTGTGGTCGTTTTCGTGGACAACATTCTTGTATATTCATCTCCTGAAGAGGAGTATGAAGGGCACCTCCGTAGTGTTCTACAAATCCTTAGAGAGCATCGCTTGTATGCAAAATATAAGAAGTGTAAGTTTTGGCTTTCAGAGGTGAAGTTCTTAGGCTATGTAGTCTCCAAAGATGGGGTTATGGTGGATTCTTCAAAAATAGAAGCACTACAGAATTGGGAACAACCTAAAAATTCTTCTAAAATTTGTAGTTTCTTGGGTTTAGCAGGTTACTATCGTCGATTTGTAAAGAATTTCTCTTCCATAGCATCACCCTTGACGAGATTGACTCGAAGGGGAGTGAAGTTTATTTTGAGTGACGCTTATAAGAAATCCTTTCAAGAACTAAAGCTTAGGTTAACTACCACTCATATCCTTATCATTCCAGAATGTGCCTTGGGGTATACTGTATATTGTGATGCCTCTAAGGAACGGTTATGATGTGTTTTGATGCAAGAAGAAAAAGAAGTCACATATGGTTCGCGGCAACTAAAACCCCATGAGAGAAACTACCCGATGCACGATTTTGAGCTTGTCGCTGTGATTTTTGTCTTGAAACTTTGGAGACATTATTTGTACGGTGAGAAATTTGAAGTCTTCTCCAATCACAAAAGCCTTAAGTACCTATTCTCTCAAAAAGATTTGAACTTACGTCAATAAAGATGGATGGAGTTTTTACACTATCACCCCGGTAAGGCTAATGTCATAGCAAATACCTTGAGTAGAAAATCTGTGAGTACTATAGCTAGCTTGGAGGTGAGGGAATGGAAGATGATAAGGGATGTCAATGAATTTGATTTGTAACTCTGTGAGTCTTTTAAACAAGCCATTCCGTTCGCCAACATCTTATAACCCACTCTTGTTAGGAGAGTGGTAGAAGCACAATTAGGTGATCCAGAGGTGGATGCGATTTGAGAGAAAATTTCCAAAGGAAAAGAAGAGAGGGGCCTGAACACTTATATCGACTCTAGTGTTTGTTACTTCAACCAATTGTTTGTGCCAAAATCAATGAGGGCTGACGTTTTGCAGAACTTTTATCACTCACATCTAGCAATGCGTTCGGGGGGCACCAAAATGTATCATAGTCTCAACAACAATTTTGATGGAAGGGTATGAAAAAGGATGTAGCTTTATTTGTGTCCAAATGTTTAACCTGTCAAAAAGTTAAAGCTGAACACCAAAGACAAGTAGGATTACTACAACCTCTCCCAGTTGCTGAATGGAAATGGGAGCATGTTAATATGGACTTTGTTACAAGCCTTCCTAGAAAACAAAGAAGTAATGATGCGATATGGGTGATTATAGACAAACTTACTAAATCAGTCCATTTTCTTGCCATGAGCAAGAGAGATTCTATAGAGTTTCTGGTTGAACTTTACATCCATGAAATTATTCGCTTTCATGGGGTTCCAGTGAGTATAGTGTCCGATAGAGACCCTCGCTTTATAGCCAGGCTATGGCAAAGTCTTCAAAATGCTTTGGGTACCTAATTAAATTTCAGTGCTGCTTATCACCCACAGACCAACGGGCAATCCGAGCGTACCATTCAAATTTTAGAAGATATGTTGAGAGCGCGTGTGTTAGATTTTAAAGGGTCTTGGGAAAAAACCTACCCTTAATTGAATTTGCTTATAACAATAGCTATCAGGCTAGTATTGAAATGGCACCTTTCGAAGCTCTTTATGGACGTCCTTGTGGATCACCATTATGTTGGGCAGAAGTAGGGGACTTACCAATGTTTGGGCCCAAATTAGTTTGTGAGACTACTGAGAAAGTAGCTCTCATTCAAAAAAGATTGATCACGGCCCAAAGCCGTTAGAAAAGCTACGCTGATTAGAGACGATGACCATTATCCTTTGAAGTAGGAGATCATGTATTTTTGAAGATCTCTCTAAGGATAGGATTGATGAGATTTAGCAGGAGTGGGAAATTATCTCCTCGATTTATTGGTCATTTTGACATTATTGAGCGGATATGGGAAGTTGTTTATTGTTTTGCTCTACCACCTCAACTCTTCGGGGTGCATAATGTGTTCCATGTATCAATGCTTTGCAAATAATAATCCGATCCCTCTCACGTGTTAGATTGGACAGAAATTGAAGTTGACGAAGATACCTCTTATGAAGAAAGACCAATTCAGATCCTTGATACACGGGAGCAAGTGTTAAGGTATAAGACCATCCCACTAGTCAAAGTATTGTGGCACCATCTTGGGGTGGAAGAAGCAACTTGGGAACGCGAAGCTGAGGTCTGAGAGAAATATCTAAACTTATTTCCAAATCTGTGATGTGCTTATTTCATTCTCCATGTATGTGATAAATTGGATATGACTCACATTTTCTAATTCTTCCCTTTCTTTACTTTAAAATTAATTAATTGTCTATTAGGAGTTGCTAAAGATTAATGAGTACACTATTGTTGTTGTAGTTGCTCCTGTATTGAGAGTTGGCATTATTTCTGGAATGAAATCTCCTAAGGGAGAGAGATTGTGACATTTTGTTCCAGGTGACCGCTCGAGCGGTGAAAGTACCTTTCGAGCGAAGATTGAGGGCATCCAGTAGTTTTGCAAGTTAGGGTGGACCACTCGAGCGACCATTAGTTTGCTCTAGCGAAGATGCAAGGCTCCCAAAATCTCGTTTTGTAGACAAAAATACTGAGAATCCTTGTTCACCACTCGAGCAGTCTACGCGAATTCAGCAGATTAAAAAAGGCATTTCTAGATCATTATTTCCACTTCTCTTTTCTCTCTTCCTCCTTATTGTCTTAAGTCCAAAAACCCTAGGTTTCTCACCCTAAATACTCCTTATTTCTCTATGATCTAGTTGAAATCACTTGAAAAGAGTGAAATCCAAGTGAAGATCTTTCTTCCTATCGATTAGATTTCATTTTTACGAAGGATTCTCCTAGAAATCAAGCTTTCTTGCTCTTTGCTTGAGGTAGGGTTACTTTTAACTTGGTATCGCTTTGTTTTGAAGATGATTATATTGTTGTGACTTTGTGACTTAATTTGATGATTGAGTATATTTGACCTTATATTTCACAAAAAGGAAAGTTTTACTCAACTTTTATTATAGTTTTATCTAATTTTCCATATAACATGAGCAATAATGTTGAGAATAAAGATATATATGAAAATGGGAAGGAAGCACCAAATTTGTTAAAAACCCTAATTTTGAATGTGAGTAGAGAATGATACTTGGAGGAGAATTTCCTTGAAGTCTTGAAATTTTGTGAATAATCACGGACAGGAAAATATATATATTGTTGTGGTGTTGAAATTCTTATTAGGGGATTGAGGCTCTTTGAATGTTATAATTGTTCCCTATCACTTATAATGTTAAACGCTTGATTATTTGGAACAAATTAGAGTAAGGTGGTAAAGTGAATAGGAGTCTGGGTTAAGAGTCGGTTTTGATAATGTGATGTTATGTTAGTACCTGCGTGGGGTGTCAAGGTGTCCAATTACCCTATCTACGCTTATTGCCTGACGAATGTGGGAAAATGTTTTTAGGTGTCCACTGGTCTTGCCGTATTATAGTCGGTAAAAGTGGAAAAACGGATGATTTTGGGTGTCCACATCCTGTTGTATAACAGTTGGCAGATGTGGAAAAACATGGTTTTTGGGTGCCCACGTCCTGCCGTATAATAGTCGGTAAATGTGGGGATGATATTACATGAAAGTGAGTTATACATGTGGTTCAGACTCTTGTAAGGGACTTATGGTGTATTTCTCTTCCTGATGTTGAGAACAATTTTGTGTGTGACCGAGGTGTACTGTAATTTTTCTTTATTTATCAATGTCAATGTCAATTATTTTATGTTGTTTTGTTGTGATAGTGCCATGTGCTTCTTCAAACGATTAGATACTTGGTTAAATGTATCTCTACTAGGCATATACCTCAACCCTATCTGATTTTTCAAGAACTAGTGACACACCACTACAATGATTTAAAGTCGCACTTTTATTTTGTTGGGAAGCTAGATCCAAGAAATTTGATTGTAGAAGTACGGAGTTATGTATCAACCATTGAAATTTGTTTTGTTGTATTAGACGAAACTTAAAAACTTTTGTATGCCTTAATGGCGAATTTCTTTTGTATAGTCTTCTAGATTATTGAACTTACCCAAGGACATGGATTGGGATTAATGTGTATCATGGACTTGTAAAATTTGGATCTTAGTTCAATGATAAAGAGGACTTTATGATACATTGCAATGCATGGTTATGGTTTATTCTTGTGGGAAACTTCAGGGTGTTACAAGAGTAGTAATAGTCTTAGTTGTTGTCAATAGTACGAGAGGAGTGAATGTTTATTATGAACTTGTAAAGAATTGGATAATTTTTACACATAAAATTATAATTAAAAAATTAAAAAATAGTAAGTGGATGGATACAAATAGAGTAAATTGGTGATAAATCCAATATAAAGAAAGTATAAGGCATTAGGTTCAGTGGATATTTTTTATTGCTGAAAAGTCCATTGTTTATGAAATAGTTGGTGAGAAGTTCTTTTGTTTGCTTTTGAAGAACATTTTGTTTTCAATTTTATCCCTTAATTTATCTGTTAACTTTTTTTTTATCTGTTGATTTTCATTGACTATCTATTCAAAAAAATTTCCCTATTTGTTCAATTTTTTACCCTATCTATTTAATTTTTTAATCTTTTCAATTCAAATTTCACTTATTTGTTTCAATATTTGTCCAAATAAAATTTTATCTGTCAAAATTTATTATCTGTTCAAATTTTTTGACTATCTGTAGCTCGACTTTTTCGCGCGCCCCCTTTCGGAGAGGCTCGAATTGGTCCTACAGTTCGGACTCCTATCATAGTTTTGTATCTAATCTCACAAAGTGCAATGTAAGACTGATAAATCCCCAAAGAGTCCAAATCCAACAAATCGTTTTTGAAAATTGATTTTAATCAAAAAGAGCCAAACATGGACTGTTTTGTCAAATTACAGAGTCGCAACCTAAATGTTTCGTTTTGGGAAATTTAGGAAACCCTGACTCGCGCCAAAGGCCACGTGTCCGTCATCACCAAAGTTGCCTCGGCTCGAGAACTTCGGCACCAGGGGGGAAGGTCATGAAATGAGCACCCCCGCTCGCCCGATCAAAGGATCGGCCTCTACTAAGCATGATATGTTGTATTTGAAAGCACATGTGTTCTGATTCCCATTATTAGCTAACTTACTATGTGATGCGCACAGCATACAAGTATAGACTCAATCACAAGAATTGGAACAAAACAATTCATGTTTGTTTTTCGAAAATGGTTTGAAAGTGCTACTCACAAGTTGGCTAAAGCGCAGATTTGCCACCCTCAAGTGGGCTTAAAACTCACAATCATCAAGTTGTTCCAATTCAGGCAATCAAGCCTTCATCTACAAGCATTCATGCAGTTTATCAAATAAGCACATAGCCTCATGGCAAGCATGCTATCATGGCAGTCACTTACACACATGCAAGTATGCTAAAGCGTAAACACTTACAGTGTACTCCAAGCCAAAACAGAAGCTAGTTAGAAATCATTCATGATCCTAACTATGTTAAGTGCCTAATGCAACACATGCAAAATGCGACTAAAATAGGCTCGGCTACCTAAAATGGCATATGAATGGGACAATTGATACACGTATTCAAATAGGTATTGAAATACGATGCGGTTTGAATGATGCGTCGAGCCCAGTGCATGAAATACAAATGAATGATGCAAACATGCAAAGCATAAGGTATACTAATCGAAATATGCCCCTAAACTATCCATCAAAAGCTGATAAGTAAAAGGGAGAAAGAAATGGGGGTTGGAAGACATGCACACACACACTCACCCTAATTACAACATGTGCCCTCTCGACGGAGGGTCCAAATAAATACGCTAAGCTACTCCAAACTAAGCTAACCAACTAATCTAATTAAGCTAATTAGACTAATTATTACAAATTAAACGAATAACTAGCGAACTACTTACTAATTATTACAACAATTAACTAATTAACAAATTAATTAATTACATTAGAAAATCAAGCTAACTAATAATTAAAGCTTTAAACTATGCTACCCCAGCAAGTTGAAGAAGTTTCAACATGCATGCCTCGATTTTCACCCTGAAAAGCTCTCCAGTTTGCTCTCTTGAGGCTCTGTCTGTAGGGTGTCTTTAAGAACTAGCTGCTGAATCTTACCAAGACAGTGCTGGAGAGTGCAACAGTGGCCTGCCGGCCATGAAAGGTGGTTGCCAGCCACCTGCCGGCCAAGAGTGGACCTCTGTCAGCCAACAATGGAAGGGTTCCGACCATCAATGTGGCACTGCCGGCCACTGGTGTGTTGTGACACCATTCTGCAATAGAGCACAAAAACAGAGGAAATGGAGGGTCTCCCTAGGGCATGTGTGTACTGTGCCACCCCATATCACCTCAAAACATCAAAGGAAAAGCATTATTGGATCCAAGACTGTCACGACCCAAACCCGCCTCTAAAAGTTTGGTCCATGATTAGCCTGTACATGGGCCTCAAAACAAAATTTTACGAATATTTATTCACAAATGGGGCCTTAAGCAGAAGTAAATATCAATATAAGATAACATCCATTGAGCTCGTGCATACATGTTGGCTTAAATAATTTTAAGCATTTAAATACACTTCCATATTTATACATACAATCTCAGAACTTATATATAGATCTCCCATACACACTTATATAAGACTTCATAATTTACATTACTCTCAGTAATCAAAATTAAGGCCTCAACACGGAGGCATACCCCAGGCGGCTTGGCAGATAGGTAGACATCAAAACAATTCTAGTGTCAATCCCCGATGGCTCACCTACATAAATATATAAAAACAGGGTGAGTAAGGCTCAGTGAATAATAGCAATGTAAGGAGGTTAGTTAAGCGAGCATAGTCATAGAGAATATAAATATGCATTTCAAACCATACACAGATCTTAATCATAATCAAATTTTAGAACAGCCTCAGGCCTACATGTAATATAGAACGGCCTCGGGCTCACATATGTACAGAACGGCCTCAGGCCCAATATATTATACAGAACGGCCTCAGGCCCACATCTCGATAACTGTCCACACATTGGAGGGTAAGTAGGACATCGACATGCACACTACTTCCCTTGGCCTCTGGCCATGAATCATAATTGATTCGAATCAGATTAAGGTCGGTGAGACATCGACACGTCATCACCTCCCTCATTTCCAGAGTTGTCCACTTTCAGTGGCTGATAACGAAACGGCCTCGGGCCCCCTTTTTATTAATAAGAATAGAACGACCTCAGGTCCATATCAATGCCCTCGTTCAATCATGTTTGTTAATTCAATCAAAGCACAATATTAACTATATATGTCATCCTCAAACAATGATATATAAATCATAAGCACAAGAAGTAAGTGAAACATATCATTACACAACTATTACTCATAGTGATGGGCTTCCGATAGCAAAGGGACAATGTCCTCGTCTCGACCTACAACACAATAC